TCTATAATTGTTTTAGAGAGATACCTTTTTTTTCTACTCTTCTTGCATATGCCCACCAACTATCTTCATCCTTATTGCGGTGAGATTTGGGTGACCTATATATTGCTGTATCATAACAATTTTGACAGGGTGCAGGATCGATTTTACTGTCACATGATTCTCGAAAAACAAATGTTGTTAAGTTTAAAACTTCTTTTAGATTTGAATTAGAGTTTAGGTTAAGGTTAGAAAAAACTATAACATAGCAAAATTATACAAGGAATTTTTTTTGTTAGGACTCCAAAGATGGTTTACTATACTAAATTTTGAGATAAATGTGATTTTTGCAAAGCGAGTATTTGTTTTGAATTTCTTTACATTACACCTGATCCTGATCTTCGATTGGCTGATAGATGTCAGAAAATCATGTGACAGTAAAATCGATCCTACGCTCTGGCATTGTTGTATCATAACTAACAGCAAGTTTTACAGCTTCATCCAACATTTCGGGGGCCCTATAGTTAACTTTAGCCTTTGTGGCTCCTTTCAGTTCTTTTGTGAAATACATCACCTTATTAGCCTCATGCATTTCTTCGATTTGCCCCAACAGGTTTCTAAAGCATGATGCATATTCCTGGACTGAGAATGTTTGCCTAAGGTCCCTTAACTGTCATCATAAGAGTTGCTAGTGGTGTAGGGGCTAGGAAGTGGTTTTAATCCCTTCCACAAATAATGTCTAACTTTCAAAAGGGCTTCTTTCACTATAGTCTTAAATTTGATTTAGATACTACTGTAAAGTAGCATCTTTTAACCCTGTTATGACATATTGTAGTTTTTCTTCATCTTTTATCCTATGAGCCTTGAAAAGAAGCTCAACCTGTAGGAGCCAAGTTGAAACATTTTCACCATCCCTACCATGAAAAACTAGAAATTGTACCGTAAGACCTTTTGATACCGTGTTATTAGGTTTATCCAGTTTCTAGCTGTTCCTTCAATTAGTCCTCTTATTGCATCCCTTGTTTCTTGTTGATTCTGGGCTGTAGTTGCTATATACTGATTCAGCTGGTTTTGATTATGTATAAACTTTTCAAATAGTGCAAAGAAGTTGAATAACATTTCTTGTTCTTCTGGCATTTTTCAAAAAAAAATTTTTTTTTGAATTTAATTTGTTTTTATTCTTAAGGTGTTTCTTCACCCGCTGCTACCAAATATAATGCAATGTTAGAATTGTTAAGCAAAGATAAGTATATCCCTTTATTACTTGTCTCTATTTTATATTTATATATTGCTTTACTAATCTTTTTATGACTATATTTCTAATGCACATACTTCACTTATCTAACCTGTCTTCATGCCTTAACCCTGCCATTACCACATAATTACCTAATATCTACTCAATGATCAAGATTTCTTTTATTATGGTTCACATTTGTCATAATCATCATATTCATTACGATCATTATAATCATTAAATAAATCATATTCATCACGATCGTTATGTTCATTACGATTGTCATGATCATTACACAAATCACATTTATCCTGATTGTCGCAATTGTTACATGAATTATGTTTGAGATAATCTATTTCTCTACACTATATCTAGTTATCTACCATATTTGTCCTATGTCTTACTATCAAATATTAGTAACTTCCAAATTAGTTCATTCAGATAATCTGTCTTTAATAACCTTCCAATTTGATATGCCTGTTATTTGAAGTATTTTCTAAACTAGTATATTCAAGCCAAGTACCTGCTATCACTAGTCTCATATGAGAAGTATTGGTATTATATATTAAAAAGATGACTTATTGTTAGATTTGTACTAACTAATACTGGCTTGCATTTCTTTATACAACTTAATATTATATGAATACCCCAAATTTTCAACTTGTTTTTTCAGATATACTAGCCTCATATCTCAAACCAGGCTCTGCTACTACCACCTGGTTTGCCATCTTCAGATTTTAGTATTTTCTAAGTTATCTGATACATTGTACTTCTTACTATCTTTAAGTACTCCCTTATATAGTATTCATTAGGACTATAGTTCATGAGGACTCTTGAGTTGCATAGCAACTACAAGGATATACACTTTCAGCTATTGGCTATTTTCGTAATTCTGCTTTAATAATCTATCTTGTTAAAGACCAGCCTAACACCACAAATTACTTAAGTAGCAAGCTAAATCACTTTTAGCTATTTCTAGTAGATATCACATTAGTGTTGGTAAATTCTAACTCTTTTTTATCATAAACTTTTATATAGATATAACTAGAACTCTGAATTGGTACTTTTAGTTATACAGAGCTAGATTATATTTTCTATATTAAGTAGCCTTCTATAGTCATTCTACTAGTGCCAGAGGTGCTTCTAATTTTAGTTAAGATATAATCCTTTACCATAGCCCATAGTTGTATATTAGCACTTCTCTCACTACTCTAGTTTTGATAGTATTGTATCACCCTTCCAAACAAGTACCCAATGCTATTCTATATTAGAACTTATACACATAATCTGTTAATCATCCTTTCAAGCAAGTATCTTACAAGTTGGATATAGAAATATTAGTATTGCCAAATACAGAGATAATAGGATGTTGGTATTGCCTCTAAGTCACTCTAACTAGAGAATTTATACATATGATCTTTTAATATCTAGACTTTCTGTGATACTGTGGTCATACATAATACCTTCACTTCTTGATCTGGTTTCCTTCTAGGAACTTTTTATTCTGGTTTTGTACTGCACTTAGACTTTTCTACAGAGTTTCGTATTCAATTATGGCCCCCATAAGTTATAAAAACAAATTTTATTAAAATTTGTCTTCAGCCTGACTCAAACTGTTGATCTAGTTTGTGAGGTTTGAAAGCTTAACCAATAAGCTATAGGACCCAAACTCTAAAAAGAAAACTTACAATCTTCTTAAATATCAAATTGCTACTAAACTCACAGATATTTACAAAAGTTTTTTTTTAAAATCTTTACTATTATAGTCACACCTCAATATAGTCACTCTCGATATAGTCACAAACTCGATATAATCACATTTTTTTATTTACCAATTAAATTAATATTGGTTTACTCTCTATATAGTCACAAATGCTTTATAGTCATTATCACATTTTTTTAACAACCAAAGTAATAAAAACATATTAAATTTACCTTAATAAAGTCACAAAATAATTTATATAATTATTAATATATTATTTTGCATTATACGTAGCATTACAACGCCCTCACACGTGATCATTTGTAGTATATAAGTTTTACAATGTTGCTACTGGAATGCAGACCGCTAGAAGTAAAATTAATATTATCACTAAAACTTCAAGTTTCAGTGACCCTATTAATTTTACTTCTAGCAATCTTTCAGTGGTTTTTTAGTGGTTTAATAACACATTAAAATAAGTATTTTTTTATTTTTTTATTACTACAGTTTTTTGTTTTTATCGCTACTAATATTAATACTTTCTTTTTCAGCATTCTTGCAATGTACTTACAGCATTTTTGTGGCCCTACAGTATTGTAACAGTCCTTCCGTGATCTTTCAGCATTTTATAGTAGCTCTACAAGCATTGTGGTGAGTTTAAGTCATTTGTATAATTGGTCTAATTGTTCTTGTAGTTCTATGATGTTTATGTGATTGTTGGGTGGTCTTGGGCAGCTTGAAGTTAGCATCTGCTTAAAATTGTAATTTCAAGTGCCTAAAGTTGAAACTGTCTAAAATTACTAACTAACATGTGTAAGAAAGATCTAATTTAAGGTGTTAATTTTGAGGATTCTGTTAACGAAGTGAGAAGCCTGTCTATGAAGTGACAGGGTGATTATTATTGCAAGATCAGATGACTTTATAGATCTCATGTGCATTTTGCCTTAGCCTCTGGTTTTCTCATTAAATGCAAGTTGTTTCTTGTTATTGTTGTGATCGCATATGATTGTTCGTGTTATTCATGGAATTATGGATTAGTAATGAGTAGAGGAAGTAAAGAGGTAGGCATATGATGCTGGGTATGTTTAGTGGATATTGTTGAATATTTG